TCCTTTAATCATTGCGCTCTCACTGTGAAGCTTAAAAAGTCTAGCACAGATTTTTAATGAGACAGAACGAGTTTGGTTCTAAAATAGAAAAGTATCAATAATCACATATTACAATTTTCATCTTCTCTAGTTGTTAAATTACATTTAATACATTTATTCTGTAATCACATTGCTGTTGTTATATTTCAGTAGTATTTCTCTTATTCGTATCTGTGTCTAATTTATTCGGTTTACCATTGAATTTTATGTAGTGTAATGAAAAATAATTGATAAAAACGTCTAAGCACTCTGTTGAATGTTGAATCCTGATTTCATTATTAAATTATGTTGTGTGATCAAGTATTGCAACTCACGGAGAAATAGGTCACCCATAGGGTAGCAATATAGGCAGGAAAAGAGCTCTCCCTCCCATTGAAATTCCCAGCAGTAACACACACTTGTTGTCATGCCTGCATTGCTTACCAAGGCTGTCTGCACTGTAACAACAAAGCCTGCCTTCCACATTACACAGTCGTGAAAAAGCCCATATTTACCAGATACCATATTGAGATCACTCAGAGCTCACTCTACACACATAATCACCAGCTGAGCACACTGCACCAAGCAGGAAATAAGTTCCCTTGCTAGATCCAACATTTACATCCAAACATAGCATAGCATCTCTTATGCCAACATAATCATTCAGTAGTTTATCCAAAGTATTCTGGCCTTTGACATGGGCTGAAAAAATATATTTGACATGAGTCTTAATCTGGACAATGATCTGTCACATCAAGGCTCATTTCTCATATCCGAAATGTTGCAGCCAACCCTTTTTTTAATACAGGCTTAGTGTCATGGTGGCTTATTACCTTATGTGCTGCATGGTTGGCATGAAGTACCTGCTGGCAGCTGAACTGAGGCTGCTGCTGGGGACTTTTCTGTGCTTAATCTTATTAGTGCAAAAGAATCCTTTTCTTGAGGCTACTATATGTTTCCTAAATAATTCTGTGTCACCCTTGAGTGGCAGTGTAAAGGCTAATAGATTTTACTTACACTGTCAGGTAGCTGCACGAGTACAGCAAATGTCATACAGAAGATATTTATGTGTAGAGCTTCATTAGGGTTACTGTAGGGGGAAGTTTCTTTAAATACATCTTTCCATTCCAACTGTTTCAGCAGCTTGACTTCGACTTAATGGAATAGTTCAACATCTTGGGAAATGTGCTCATTTGCTTTCTGGCAGTAGGTCAGATGATATGATTGAAGTCTATAACATGAAGCTACAGCCAGCAACCAGGTCGCTTAGCTTAGCATAAAAACTGGAAACAGGGAAAGGCTGGCCTGGCTCTACAAAATCTAAAGAGCATTAATTAATACATTATATCTCATTTGTTTAATCCGTGCAAAACTGAAGTGACACGCTACTGTGTTATTTAGGCTATGTGCTTGACTATTTCAGTTATTTCTTTCAATCTACGCTGGATACCTGCATGGCAACTGCACAAAGTCAAGAAATAGTCTGGCACATAAATGGTAAATTGTAATTTCTAAACATTATTTTTTGTTTTGTTTTTTATGGATTAGACAAACTATATATAAATGTTAATTACACCCCATTTACACCTGGTATTAAAATGTGATCTGTATTTGAACACATTATCCAGATAATAAATTATCTTCCCTTTGCATTTACACCTGTGTGTTCTCGTCATCCTCATCGAATCTCTGTCATCCAGAGCAAAACCTGAATGTGAGTAATTTGAGTGGTGGCAAAACAGCCCCAGACATCCTTAAAGATCACAGAGTTTTGTGAGTTGTTGAGTCAGAGGAAACTTTAAAAACTTTGTAATATACTATCTACAACAAATTCTTGATTATTTGTTCCCTTCTTTAAATTTGACATATGTGATTAGATATTCCTTCCTTTTTATAAAAACACATATATTATTATATTATTTCTCACCGGTATTTTCACACAGTTCTGTTGAATAAGCATCCTTTGGCATTTTCCTGGCACAGAGACGTATAAACAGTAATTAGAAGCATAGTTTGAACATTTCAATTTGAACAACAACCTGTATGTTATGTTAAAGCTAAAAACAAATATCTAACATCAGTCATGTTGTGTACGGATGCTAGCACATTGTGGATTGCGTTTACACTAAGCCCGTACACAATGAAAGCCAAACTACCACCAGATCTGGTCGGGCAGATCGGATCACATTCATATCACTGGATACAGATTACATTTTAATATCAGGTATAAATGGTATATAATGTGCATTAAGGTTAGGTGCTCACAGGGTGATTTTGTTGCCATTGGACAGAGCCATGCTAGCAGTTTCCAGTCTTTATGCTAAAATAAGCTAAATGGATGTTGTTTCTAGCCTTTTATCTAAAGGACGTATGAGTGGGATAACAATCTTTTTATGGTACTGCCTCTCATATCATAAATCCATGATTAACCAATAAACATCCCTCTGTCAGAATGACACACTTAAACAGGAAGATCATTGGTGGAAATTCAGAAATCCTCTGCATAAAATCTTATTTATTTTCAGGGCTCATCGGCCTCTTCCACTTTATATATCAGCTCCGAGGTTATGGTTTCTGACCTTATCTCTATCACATTACGTTCATCCCCCACCCTTCTTTCACCCTGCTTCATCTTGATTTCCTACTTTCCTGTCACTAATTAGGTTACACGAGCATGGGTACATGGAAGAATCCTCAAATGGAACAATTAAATCCTACAAGGTCATGTAGGTGTCAAAGCTAGAAGTGAATGTTTTGTGGAGAAAAGTTAACATTATACTGTATGTTAAGACTTCACCTACACAACCTGCTGTGATTTGGAATACATATTGCTCATCAAAGCATGAGGTGTATGATTGCCTCCTTTCATCTACACTATTTTATCAGCTTGGCAACTTGGCAGCTTAATATATGCCTCCTACTCATTGTCCGGCACTGTTTCAGAATTTACGGTTTAATAAGCTTATAAATAATCCCCCTTGTGTCCACAGATACGAAGAAGGTTAGGGAATGTCACTACATGGCCATCGATAGTAAGGCAAGTTCGATGGTGGCGGGCAAATGGCTCCTGCCCCCATGCTGTCTTGCCTAGACAATTTCCCAGAAGACATCTCTGCGAGAGGGGTCATTCCTGTTTGGCATGCTTGTGACTCATCTCCCTTCTGTTCCCACCATCCCGTTGGCCACAGAAAGCTCAGCTCACTGCTTCCATCTATATAAGTTCTTTGGTCTGCCTTCTGTGAACACCAACATCCCCCGTTCCCTCTCCTCCCCACATCCCTCACTGAGCTGCAAGCTGCTCCGTCTTCCTCTATCTCTCCCCAAGCTTTCCCAGCTCTCTCCAGAGGGCACTTTATCTATACCACCCCTGGCAGTCTGGCAGTATATGTTATAGCCATTTACAACCAGCTGATACACCTTTAACCTTTCTCTTCACATTAATAAAGTTGCTCTAATGATCAGCAGCCAAACATCTCTTTAACGCAGGTCAAAAACTGACTACATCATCAAAAGGCCTCGTCCTCTGAGTCTGTTTAAGGTTTTCAGATGCTACTGTAAACAACTTTGCTGTGAAGTAAACGCTATGTGCTATACATAGTTATTGTATGAAGTCAGCTTCAAGGGCTACTTGAGAGATATCAAGAGCTCTGGTGCTGTAAGTGGTCTTGTGTATTTATGTAATGTTTTGTTCTTTCTTCAGTTCTTTTATTTTTAAAACTTACAAGATTCTGTTTAACAAAGAAAATAACAAGAAAATGCTACTGAGTGAGAAATGCTTTACATATCATTTGATTTATATTCATTCTACATTCTTCTTTTGTTCAGGTAGAGGACTTTGCAATAAAGGAAAAGAATACAAAGAAAATCCACTGTCAGTTTTATTTTGTTTTCTTATTCATAGTTCCAGCGTGTAGGATTTGGTGGCACAGTAAGCTTACTTAGGTATTTCTTACCTTTTGTATGGCTTTTCTCTCGCTGTTTATGCATATTGTTGATCAAATCTGCTTATTTTTCAAATATATCTATTTACTATACAGTACATCGCAGATTTGCCATTATACCAAATGCACTGACAGAATAGTAGAAATTGAAACTAATCCTAACTGTGACAGACTAAAGAAAATGTGGGGAAAAAAGGTGTGATACTGCAATAATAAAAGTTAAATAATGGAACATGAATAATTTGCAGATTTTTCACATGAGAAGATTTCATCAGAGGCCAAGGTCAGTCAGTTCATTCGTCAAACAGAGCTCTCATCTCGCACAGAGTGAGTGATGCAGTGTCCCCAAGCTCTGCAACTGCAGCTAATATTTCATGATGAAAATGCCTCTGGAAATATTTTACTTACTCTGAGCTAAGATGCTGCTTTGTGTAATTAAAGTCCAACTGAAATCGAATCACAAGTAGTCTTCCCTTATTGCAGTCAAAAATTAATGTCAAGGTGATTTTTAAATATATTGTTAATTATTTTTAATAATTAAAGGGAAGAAAAAAAACTATTTCAGTATGTACCACATGCTAATTTTCTCTCCCCTGAGTGGACATGTCAGGGCACAAAGATAATGAAAACTAACCTGCACTTTAATTGTTGATTAAGTGCAAGGGGAACAGAAGTTTTGTGGGCAGAGCTATTATAAAATTAAGCATCACCCAATCTCTAAATGAAACAATGTTGAAATCTTGCCTGCACACTGTGTAGCAGTGGGCCAAGGTGCAACCAGAGGCTTGTGCTTGACCATCTACGATAGATAAATAGTGAAGGAATGGCATTCCAGTTCCAATACACAGATGCAATCACTAAAGATTTTTCTTGTCAACTAGTAGTCGTTAGATAAAGCCAGTAGTCGACTATTCGTGGCTAATATATATATATAATAGATGATGGTTAATATATATATATATATAGATGATAATGGAAAAATCGGAAGGAATTCTGAATGTGTTGGAACAAGAAGCAAGGAGACTGAACATTTAACCTAGTTAATTTATTTAAACAGACTAATAACATTACATAAGTCTCGTTGTTGAAAACACAGAATAAATCACTTCCAACTTGATAAAAACAAACACTTGCAAACGTATTGACACGATGATGATGTATAACATCGACATTTACTTACAAATTAACTTCTACAAATGTACTCTTCTTCCTCCGATTCATGCCTCTCCTGTCCCCGCCTGAACCCGCCGTTTCTCTGTTGGTCTGTCCCACTTCGGTTCTGTGGCTCAGTCCGGCCTTGCTCTTTGGCAGTAGTAGTGTTTAAACTCCCCCTGTTCTTGAGCTCCCAGTCTGGGTACAGACAGCAAATGGGACCGCATGTGCAGCAGTGCTCCAGTAAGTGACTCCCTGTGTTACATGTGAAAAGGTCTGTGTTGCAACAATCCCCTGATACTTTTGCCCAGGTGCACAAGTCCTGAACAGAGTTTGATGTTGTTGTTTTTTTCTGCGACTATCCTACTAATAAAAACTGCCTTGACTAAGACTCTTCCCTAGTAACTAACGATTAAATGGACCCTTGCTTTTTGGGTACTGATATTTTATCAAATGAGGAAAACCAGAAAAAACATGCAAATTAATTTCAGCTGAACCAAGTTTTAAAGCTCATCAAACCTTTTGGCTGTACGGCAGGATACTGAAAGAGAGCGAACCAAACCTAAAGAAGCCTACATAGCAACAAAGCAGACTGGATCCATCCACTCAGGACGATAGACTTGTGGTTATCCTGATTATTAATACACAGCAGCTGTAGGACTGGGGAGCATCTGGACCTGTCTGTCTGTGCCTGTACGAACATGGGGAGTGTGTCAGTGCTCTCTGAAAGAGGTTCTCTGTCTCCTGGCTTTCCCTTTCACACCAAATTCAACCCTAAAACAAAGGGAATAAACACATTCAGTGCGCAAACAGCAGACCAATTCTCACGGTGATTGTCTTGTTATACTACAGCCATTATATGCTATTAATTTTAATTTGAGAATGAAATACGTAAATACTCACACACAGGTTTTTTAAAAATTCAACAAAACACCCATTATCATTTGCTCTATTATTTCTTAAATCCTCTCTACAAATCACAGGCTCCTGGGTGGAAGAGGCATTACATATAATTATGGATTAATTGGTGGGGAGGACTGGCCCGGTGAGGGTTGGAAATCAGGTTTTAACAATTACTGGTTGAACAGAAGCACTAGGCTCAAACAGTCTGAATTACTGCTTTTACTTGATTCCTACCTCATTTTCATTCTCTATAATTCTATGACTTTATGTGGCTTACCAACCCTTTGTAAAAAAAAAAAAAGAAAATCCTGCAGACTATCAAATGAGAAGTGGTCTTTTCATAGTTCGTAGAGTGCAGTGGAAATTATGGGCAAGGAGGTAGAGGTGCAGTCCAATATTCACTGACCTTTTAGATCCGTTTGGTCTTCACCAGCTCATAAGAAAAAAAAATCTGGGTCTTAAGACGAAGCCATCAGTTTGCTTCAGCTGTTTTTTTTGCAGGACAAGTAGCCTATAATTGGCTTATTCTAACTGCTCTGTGGAAACAGCTTGTACAGTTTGATGAGAGCCGTGAGACTCAACCATTAAGTCTACAGCCAGAAAATGAAAAGAACAAATTGACTTGTAGTGCTGCAAAGTGGATGGTTATTATTCACAGCAGAAACTTTCATGTAATAGCATTAAAAACACAGGCGTAACTGACCATTCACTGATGGCGCGTTTACACACGGTGCCAAAACTCTGTGGTGAACGGCACTCAGTACTGTGCTGTGCTGTGTCTCTGTCGTAGGCACTTCAGCTTGCCTGTTGTTCACGGTACGGCTCGTACAGCGTAAGCTCTACCCCCTCAGTTATGTCGCTAAGCCTGTCAAGCTTTCCATTCTGGCATGGCACACATGCAGTTTACAATGAACAGTGTCAGATTTACCACTCAAAATACTTTTTTTAAACAATGGGCCCTCGGTTTCACACAGAGGCAGACAGAAGTAGGCTTCTCATTTATCAGCATTAGTTAGATAGCTAATTAAGCTAACGTTAGCACCATAAGATGGACACAATGGTCATGTTTAATCCCCAAGACCTGAAGGAATATTAATTATGAAATGGCGACAGAAAACATTTTTAAGACACGTTCTTTTTTTTTTTACATTTTGACTTATCAATCACAGTAGGAAAACATGTGTTACTAATTACATTAACAATGGCTCCATTTTAGTGTCAGTAAGCCATGACAGTGAGCCATCATACACAATATCAGAACCCTAAAAGCAGCTAAATGAAATTCAGCCATCATTGATTTTATTATTTACACCTGTGGTTTTCCTTCAGTGACATGTCAAAATGTCGGTGAAAAATGCCTATCTGTAACACATAAGGTTAAGCATTTGCTCTTTCTTATCTATTTATCTTTTGGCCATTTACTGTGTCATCGTTTTTTTTAAAGAGATCAGTGATATTTGTAAGGAAAAAGGTTAACGTCAGTAAAATTCCAATGCACAACATGACACAGTGGACCCATTTGGAATAACAAACATATCCGTCAGCAAAACATTTGCTGACATTTTTAAATGACAGCATGTTTATTAAATTGTGATTCATTCAGAGCACGTGTAATTAGGTTTTCTTCCTGTCTTAAAGGAATAGTTGACATTTTTGACATCTGGTGCTTTCTCACTAGTAATATTCATTCATGCTCACTAAGATTATGTGGACGTGGATTTTTTAGCAGGCTGTCAAACATTTTAAACCAAAAATTAAGGGGAATACATTTTTAGTGTGTTATATCTTAATGCTATTTATCTTGTTAAACAGTTGTAGCTCCTCTCAAAGTCAAATATTCAAGATCACAAGTGACTAACAATTTAACATTTAACCTTTAGTGAGCACATTAACTGATATTTTTAATCATCTGTTGCAAAACACAGTGTCAGTTCTGTTACCCTCCAGTATCCATTGTAAGGGATATCCCACCTCCTCTGTGAGGCTGCATTTAATCTTTCAGGACCCAGCTGAGAACCGCCCCCAACCAAGCATGCATGCTTAGTCATAATTTTCTGTTTGTAGCCACTGCCATGCCAGCAGCATTCTGCGGAAAAATGTATAATGCCAGATTTGCCTCATTAGAATGAAAAATAGCACAGTCACTCCAACACTGGCCGTCATCAACACAAAAACAATATTACAAACGGACTTTTCAGTAAAATCCAGGACATTTTGGGCAGAAATCCATTTGCCTTGGGCTGGTTTGTGGGCATTTAGCACAGGGAAGTCATAGCAACAATGGTGGACAGAGGTATGAAATAACTGCTGTTTCTCTTAAAATCTGCCTGCACTCACCATCTGTTTCATTAATGCCTGTGGTGGTTTTTGTGACGGCAGTTTCCTCAGCCTTGGGCCAGATGCTGTTTCAAGGTAGACAGCTCATCAAAATGAGTGACAGGTGTTATAGAGTGGAATTGACCAACTGCAGGGGGTGGACCTGAAAATACGCTTTCTGCCACAAGGTGAAATGTTGTGCAGCTTTAGCAAAAAAACAAGTTAAACGTGGAATGAAAAATCCCTTCAGTCCAAGTGAATAACAAATGCTTTACAAATATAAATCAAACTACAGCCACAGACACATGTAGTGATCAATGTTTCCTTTAACAATAGGTATTACACAGAGCAAATGTTCTCTCAGATCTTTAGGGACTTGACTAATACCTTTACATATAAATGGGTGCTTGAGAAAAAGCCCTGTAAGCAACAGAGAGAATCATAAACCACCTGAATCTTTTATAGGTCAACACCGCCTGATAGAAAACTCGCAGAATTGCACGGATTTAAATGCTAAATCTCAAGAAACTGCCAACAAGTTTAAATATTGAAACACCTCTCCATAATTCACATTTACATTCGGCACTTCACAGCGCTCTGAGCAACCAGCTCTCATCTCTGACACCTGGGTTCCCTGTTGGGTCGACGGAAAGTTGCTAGCAGTCCAGCAGAGTGACCTGATTATTAGAAAGATCATACTGTAGCTGCGAGTCACAGGCTTGATTCTCCGTCGTGTTCACACTTCACAGCTGCAGTTAATCCTCGCCGAACTGTGCATGAGCAAGATAGTGAGACCTTTCCTGTTACGGGGGCACAGCGAATAGCAACACGCAGATCTCCTCTCATAAAATGCATACATGCATGTCTAAGGGGTATATGTGAGGAAACAGTTTTCTAATTACACTGGCGGTAATTTGGTGATTGAGTGCACCATAAAAAAAGATAAGTTGCACAAGTGTTTTGACTGAGGAATAGATAATTGCGACTGTTCAGCAAAATTGTTCAAGGATGTTAAATGTTGCCCAGAGCTAATGTGCACGTCCTTGGAAAGTGTGTGTACGTACAGTATAGTATGTTTAGTAGGAGTTAGATGAGTCTCTGCAGTATAACTTTCTGACCTTTCTGCGTTTTCCTCATGTGCACAGCATCTGAATTTTAGATTAAAGCATTCATTAGCATGTGAACTGGCCTCTCCACTGTTTGAGAAATGCAGAGATTTAAGTTACAGCATTACAGAGGCGCATTAAATACACCCAGTCCAGCAGCATCGCACACTTTACAGTGCTTCATCTAAAAAAAGAAAAACAACCTGTCGTCATTTGTTTTAAGAGAGTGGTCTTTTTACATCTAAAATCAGTAAAAGCAGACAAGAGAATCAATACATGATGAGCATTAATTTTCTGTACTGGTTTGTTCTCCTCGTGCTGTAACATGTCTTCCATGAAAAATACATTTGTTTCCCGGCTCTGTTGCCATCCAAGACGGCCGAAGGTCGGGCTGTGAATTTACTGCGGCCGTTTGTCTTGCTTGCTTGGCACGGGCCGCTTTGTCAGTGTTAATGTGGTAAGTGTGTAGGTGCATCCAACAGCCTTCCCAGTTTATTAACATTCGAGAGTACAGAGCAAAAAAACATGCTCATCTGGATGAATGCAACATTCATTCAGAATCTGGCAGTGCAGTAAGGGTGATGTGCATTGGGGTGGGAGGGTGTGGGTAGATTGCGTTGGGTGACTGCCCAAAGGCACACTTGTGGCTCCCAGAGGATTGGATCATCTTTTTGTTCTTAAAGCCATTTGGACATGATGGAAACATACTGATATGAACTCTAGTTGTACACTAATTATCAGTGATTGTTGATCAAATGTTGATGAACAGTGATGCCATTTTATATATTTTGCCAGACAAACATCAGATATAGTAATAGACACAGAGCACTGCCTGATGTTCAGCTTATATTTGATTTAACAGACTAAAGAATTAACACACTATAGAGTGAGTAATAGCTTTTAGATTGAGCCAAAATGAGTTCATTACGGCTTCTTCAGCCATCTGGTTTTGGTGTATGACTCTAGAGCATCATCTGGTCGTGCTCATGGCAACAGAGTCATTACAGTTTTGTATTTTTCATTAGTTTTTATTTTTATTTCATTTTTAATTTTTCAGTTCAGTTTATCTTCAGTTAGTTTCCAGAGTGGGTGTTCTCAATTCAGTTTAGTTTTTATTGTTTAAAAATAGTTAAGTTTTAATTAGTTTCAGTATTAGTTTTAGGGTTTTTTATTATGATATAAAGGAGGAATTTGTCAGGGGCAAGACTGAAGTTCAGAATTGGCATTACAATAAAAATACAACACTTTGGGTTTCAATAGAGATATCCACCAATTCCTCCTTATGCTTGTTTTTGGACAAATTTACAAAAAATTAAACAAAAGAAATTTGCTGTATATATATTATTTTTTTTTAGTTAACTATAATAACCTTGCATGGCAACCCACCCAGTATCCAGGAAATGCATTACTTCAAATACAAATGTTTTGCTTATGCCTGTATTCACAATATACGGATAATTATGTTAGACACACCCAACATTTACTGTAAATTGGAGTTGGAATGAATCAGAATGTGCTTTGCAGGGTGTCACAGGGGTTCAGTTGTCACATCACAGCAATGGGGACCTTGGTTTGAATCTTAGCATGAGTTTGCATAATTTCCCATTGCTGCTCTTTTGTTCATGCTCTTTTTGTCCTTACACGGTCAAAATACATGCAGATCATGTGAAGTAGAGACTCACATAATGTGAAACAGTGTGTGCGTGTCTGTTTGCTCTGCAGTGGACTGCTGACCTATCCAGGGTGTTTCTCTGTCCTCCATACATTGTATGCTGGGACAGATGTAAGCCCTTCTTTGATCCTGAATGGAAATCTGTGCTTGTGAATGTACTTACTTATATGTGTAATTAAGCAACAATAGTCATGTTCCTTATATAAACCAACTGCTGCTGGTTTTCTTATCCACATTTCTGCTTTTACCAACAGCTCCATCAGTTAGAATATCGACAACCTACTGCCTGTCATCTCTGCTTTTTGAAAGGGAGCAGATTTATTTTTTATTTTTATACGTAAGAGAGAATGGCCTTGTGGGCCTTCACAAAGTTATTTGTACTTTTGTAAGACAGTATTATGTTCAAACTATATAAAACGTTTTATATTGATGGTAGCACACAATAGAATACTGTTGTTTTCATCAGAATCTTTACATTGTGACCCACACCATTAAAACTGCTATGCAGCCCATCTTTGGAGAAACATTTCCTCATTGTTCATCACACTAACCAAATTCATCATTCAGCACATTCAGTATAGCTCCAAAGGATGGATGTTTTCCTTTCATTGCTATAGTTCTGTAAAAACAATACAATCCAACAGTATATTATAGTGTCTAAATTGCTGATGTTGTAATTTTGCAAGCCACAGACAAATAATGCTAGCTACAGCAGTCTTAATGTGATAGCCTGTTTTGTGCCACAGTAAGTTGCCACCTTTGTGTAGCTGTGCCTTGTACAGAAAATGTGGGACCGGCTTCTGCACTCTCAGGGTTTTAACAAACACGGACAGCCAGTCTGCTTTAAATTATGCAAGCAGTCACTGGTGAGAGAGAGATTATGCAAAGGAAAGTAACCTGAGTACAAGAGGAATATATTGTAAAAAATGTAGTGCATTTTTATTTTTTTTTTACTTTGGCACCTGTGCCTGTATAACTATTTTTTTTTTTTTTTTTTTTTTTTTGCGCTGCATCATATCATACCACCTGACCTCATTGTTCGATTTGTCTTTGCATCTCTGGCTGTGTTAGCAATGGCCCACCCACTAAAAATCCTCCTTCGAGCAAACAGATTTCTCAGTGGCTTTTCTTCTGCTATTGACACTCAGTTTTTATACTAACATGTCTTTGTTACTAAAAAGCAACAAAAAAAAGTCTAGCTCTGATTCAACTGGTGATGATGGAGATAAAAAAGATTGCTCAAGACATAAAGAGATTTGTCGTATTAGAAGATGTGATGTTTTCTTGGCTGTTGTTGTGGATTCACATCACTGGACCAAAGTATCCATTTTGTACTTTTGTGTGAAGAACAAAATGACAGTGCTTACAAAGATCTGCCACTAAGCACAGGCACAGATAGTCACTGAGTGCCTGAGGAGGATATTAAACAGGTTTCCTTATTTGGGAATCATTTATCCATCTGCAGTGTTGCCCCTTGGCTGTGTATTCTGTCCTATGACTACAGCACCATAGTCACCCTTTGCAGTGATCAAAGTGTTCATAACTGCACCAAGAATTTATTTCGCCTCCTTGTTTAAAATAAGCAGCCTGGAATGTAATGATCACTCTCGAGATGAATGACATTGCAAAGGCACCTCTTCAGCAATTAAGTTGTCTCTAATTGTAGATTGAACCGGAGCGAAAAAAAAATCATTGTCTGTTTTCTTTTGTAACCCAGGTTAATTAAAGGACATTTGCTGAATTTTAATTAAAAAGTGAAATATACTCAATTGGTCCAATATCTTTATGAAAGACCCCTTTATAGCGAGTGAAAGAGCAGGAAAACCTTTATCTTGTACACAATACTTTATCAAAGAATCACATATAAAAACACACTTCTTTCAGGAGAAGGCTTTAACGTTATTTCTTATTCTCATTACTTGGATTCTCTCGTTGGTTGCTCCCTCCGACTTTAACACGTTAAAGCCCTTGACTACTAAGAACATTCGAGCAACAGAAATACACACCACAGCACACAGACCTTTAAATTTAAGATTAGAATGCAACACACACAATTCAAAAATATATTCTCTAATCTTGCAGTAGTTGCCTTTTTTTTTCTTTTGTACAATTAGAAAAAATACACAGTTAACTGAATTCATTGGGGGAAATGCTTTAACAAAGTCACAAGTGATACTGTATTTTGCACCATGACAGCTCTGGATACAGCACTGCTCTATCCTCGCTAAGTGTCTGCAGTGTCCTGTGTGCCATTAAGCATCAGCGGAGATCATGATCTCCTGTGTGTTCACATGAGTGTTCACATGCCCTAAAAGGTGTGGAACATTGTGCCCTGCCAGCGTCCTGAGGGTCATATATATTCATATTGACATTTCCAGGATTCACCTCACCATTCTGTCATGTATGTTCACACGTCGTCACCTCTGGTAGGGGCGTCTGGTCTTGCATGACCACTTGAGGAGGGGTGGGGGCAGGGCGAGCGTGGGCTACCGAGTTCTTCTGCAGCTCCACTCCAAAGGCAGGAGAAGCGTTCTGCAACTGTCTCCTGTACTGAACAAAGCTGCAGGTCTTTAGGATGATGGCCAGGATGTTCTTCCCTATCAGGATCCCGGATACCCTGGCATCCCTGTACAGAATCATGTTTCCCCCACGGATGAAGAGGGTGATGATGTTGATGGTGACCAGGCTGAGGATGGGGTAGAGGAGCATCTTGTGGGGCACGATGTTGATGCCCTGCATGCTGATCTCACTCAAGGACACACAGGGCAGCACGAGCAGCAGGATGTAGCAGTAGAAGAACATCAGGCCCTCTGCCCACAAAGGAAGCCCTTTCTTTTGAGGTTCCCACAGGTTGGCTTGGATGTCCAGTATGTCCAGCAAGTCCACAACCACCCAGAAGAGACGATTACGGATCTCCTCGCGCTTCTTGAAGGCGCGAACATACTCCATATGGTCGATAGCAACCAGCACCACAAACAGCACTGGAATGCAAATGGACAGCAGCAACGTCAATGCTTTCCTTGCGAGAGCATCAAGGCTCTTCCTGTCTGCCTTGTAGTTTTGATACACAAAGTAGACCTTGATCTCAAGCACAAAGATGTAAAGGAACCAGAGGATCATGGCATAGCCTCGCTTGGCCGTGCGTACCTCAGCGCCCACCCACACCGCCACGTAACGCAAGACGATTAGGAAGCAGATGTCTCCCACCATCACCATGATGCAGATGCCGATTTTGCGTGGTCCGTGGTTCTGCTCCACCAGGTATGCATCAATCAGCGCCATGCTGCTCATGATCAGAATGGTGGAAAGGCACACGTGGGGCTTGTTGGTGGGAGGTGGAGGTACCATCCTTGCCTGGGAGAGGAGAGGAGGAGGAGGAGGAGGAGTGTTGTTGAAGAGGGAGTGCAGAGGGTGCTCAGTTTGTACAGTGAGGAGGCAGATCAGATAGTGCTGCTAGACAGTGGTGTTCCCCTCCATTGCTTCTGCCTTGGCCAGAATCCAGGATACATTAATAGGATTCACACAGATCACTTCAATCAATCTCCGCTCGTGCCCAAGCCACCTGCCGGGTAGACAGTACCCTTCATTTAGTAAATTATGTTTATTGGCAAATGGTCTGTAAACATATAGGGTCACTATTGTAAAATGTAATAATTATCAGGATGTGTGTGTACCGTTTATACCCTGATAATGATTCATAAAACACAACACAGCAGTTTAACCAGTGAGTTACATTTTCTGCTATTGAAAGAGAAAAAGAAGCCGTTGCGATGTGTTCTCATAGCAGATTCACTTCCGACACCCTTGTTTTCATACAAGCTTAAGCCTTCAGAGATAAAAATCCAGCTGAATACTCACTTGTGTCCCTCTTTGTACTTTATCCTAATGACTGGCAGCGAGCGATCATCCATGAGACTGCACTGAGAGATCACAAAGCCCATCTGTAATCCACAGGAGAAGAGAGGAGAAAACGCACGGGATCCTCTCCTTCTCTGACAGACGTAAATCCACCAGTCATGGATATATTTCTCTCTTATTTCTTTTTTTTCAGGCAAAAGAGAAATCCCAAAATATTGCCGTCATAATCCACTTACAGCTCAGACTGAATCAGAAGGAGGCATCTTAATGGTCACAAAGACCGCTCTCAATTTCTGCAACTAAGAATAGAGGTTATTTTGTGTTGTGCTTAGATAGAGGGCTTAAACTCACCCCAAAAAAGAAAGTTATTCTTAGTGGAAAAATCTCTGCAGTAAGTCCTCCTTAAAAGATCATTTCCTCTCCAGAAGTTTTCCTCTCCATCAGCCACCATCCATGGACAAGAAAATGTAACATTCAGTATCTGTTTTCCTGTGCAAGTTTGTTTGTTTCAGAAGAAGTGGAGTGAGTCTTTTAAATGCAGCGTGTGACTAACTGTCCTTCCCCACTCAGCTGTGTGCATGTGTGTTTCTGTGTGTGCGTGCAGGTTTCAGCTGTCTCCACGCTTCGTTGTCGCTGTAAAATGCTGCCCCCCTGGCGAGATCCTGGGCTGCTGCACCGCTTTCTCTCTCCTGCTCAAGCAGCTTTTGCCAGGGACACCAGGATCAACAGCACCACTGGATTCCCCAGTCTCCACTCTGCATGCTCTGCCAGCACCACCAGCGCTGTGATACTCCAATGATGCCTGCCTCTGCCCGTCTGTGCACTTCTCAGCCCTCTCGGCGAAGTCAGAGAGATGCTCCTCTGGTGTGTTCAGACACACTCCTGGGATTTTTTTTTTCTCTCTCTCACTCTCTCTCGCAGCTACCCTCCTCTTCCTTCTCCCTCTTCTGCTCAAGTAAAGGCACTTGCTGTGTGGAGGTGACGCTCAGCAGACCACAGCTGCAGAGCCAGGGAGAGAGAAAAGAGGTAGAGAGAGAGAGGGAGAGAGAGAGAGACAGAACACTTTTCCAGGGGGTGGAGAAAGGCGGGGAGGGGGGGAGGGAAGACGAGCCAGCCTTTTGCAGCTTAGCTGAATGCACAACTTCTCTCTCACCCTGTTTTTTTTTTTCTTTCACATCCCTCTCTTCTTTTCACATTGTGTCTTGTGCTGATATCCTATTTTTTCGGGCTGTTTCTTTTTTGGCTCCCAGAAAAAACCCTGGTTTTCTTCTTCCTTGAGAAGCCCATTAAGGTGCCATGAATTTTTTTTTTCTCTCCATCGGGTTTGAGGTGCAGAGATGAAAAGTGAGAGGAGAAAAAGGTGGGTGGAGGAGAGGAGATGCTCTCCAGTATAGGATGTAGAAAGCCAGCTTCCCAGCAGGCTGTGTGTCTGCAGTCTGGGGAGACATGGGGACGGAGAGGGGGGGTCGCTGTGGCTCCTCCTGACAGAGAGCCTTTCTATTGATCTACTGACAGAGCAGTGAATCAGGAGCCTGAGATGGGGACTGAGACCAAAAGAGTATGAGGGGTAAGGGGAGGTGGGGAGGTACAGGTGTGGGGGTAGCGAATAAGAAGGGGCGGGGGGACAAGTGACATGATGAGAAGTGAAAAAAAGAGACCAGGGTGGGACTAAATGTCAAGGGATGATTTTTATCCCCTGAGATGTAATAATGCCTGAGATGGGAGATAATGGTCATGAAAAATTTTAAATAAAGGTAGGAAACGGTTGGTGTGTTTGCTCTGTCATGTAGTATGCTAACACCACTAGCTCTGTTTATCCAGCTGGGCCAATTAGCACTAATCCTTCCTCAGAGGAACCAAACTGCTTTCATTACTACAGTATGAAGCCATTTACTGCTCACGTCATGAATTGCCGTTATTGAAGAGTCAAATGTATTGGTTTTCTATGCAGTGTGGCTGCACTTTTCATCCAACTGTGTAATGACAACTAAACATAATTGCAATCAATCATGCACAATTTTTGCAGTCATGAATGGATATGGTTACAGATGTACCAGCTGTGGATCAGCTGACAGTGGCCATCATGGCTGTTTATGACTTCTATCATGCCTTTATCATGGAAGCATATGGAGGCTTCATGTCTGAAAAGTGAAGCCAAGTGAAACAGCCGTTTGCTTTTCACCACTCTTCTTATTGACTATTGTCTCCAGATTTATCGACCATAATTGAGCAATGACAAGTGGAGTGATGAATTATATGCTCCTCTGCAAATTGTAAAGTTAGTGTTCCTTCGATCTTTTTTTTTTACATTTTGACAGTCGTTATAAAACACATGGCAGGCTTCAATTCAATACCAACTGGTGCTGAAATGTTACTGCGACACATTTAAAAGATTGTTAGAGATGAAGGCCCAGTGGTTAGAAAAATCGTTGTGTAATGAAAGGTCACAGGTCTGATCCCCATGACAGCCAGTGCAGCCATTAACAGCCACGTGTCCTTGAGCCAGACACTAAACTGCTACCTGCTCACTCGTTTGCTCAAAGTCACTCTGGGTAACAGCCTCAGCTGAACGGCTGAATTATAAATGCAAATGAGGGGATGGCTTGTCTGTGGTCCTAATAGTTTCACTCCCCCTAAAATCAGTATGGGAGATTGATACAACACCTCTATCATCCACTTTGTTTATCCTCCCACATCTCATCTAGTAATCTATAATTTATATCTTCATTTACATACCTTTTGTGATATACATTGGTGTCCGAGACTATGTTAACGTCTCCATTAAAGAGGGCAGCTGACCTGGGCTCAGACTCTTGAGTCACATCTGCTGATAATCTTTATTTATACATGCTCAGCATTCCCCCTTTTGTCTTCCTTCACTGTGTGTTTATAATTCATGAGCATCTACAGAGGAAATCACACCACTGTCTCTTAAGGGTATTGTCTGTTTTAAGATGAAACTGATTTATGCACAGGTTTAGGATTTTCTTTACAGTTAGTTTGTGTCAGAGTTCTCAGTCCTGATTAGTGTAATTATACTTTTATAAACACAAGCCTATATTTTATAATTTATGAGATTTCAGCCACCTGAAGTACATCCAGCAGTCTTGTCTGTCCTCTTCTGCCCTCTCTCCTTCGTCCATCAGGCTCTGCTCAGCCTCCTACAAAGGACTGTCCTTGGCTCCTGGACAGGGACACTGCTTCATCACTGTTAAGCTCCAGGCAGGCTAACACACAACAGATAGCAGATGATAAAGAACACTAGCCACACTGTCTATAACATAAAGCATCTACAGAAAACAATCAGAGGACTTGAAATATAGAAGCAGTGGAGTGGCTTCACTGTGGCTTTATTGTCCTGTTTTTTAGGAGTCAGGGTAAAAGTGGTTCTGTTTTGAAAACTCTAATGTTTAGTTCGATCTCTTTGCCTTTAAATGTGGAATTTGCCTTTATGCAAATATTTTAGCGTGCTTTCTCAGAGCACGCTCCATTTTCAGAAATGTTCCCTTGACAACCAAGCAGCAGCTTGAGGAACATGTTTTCTCATCTTGTCAGAAAAGATATCATGGGAGAAATTCAACACTGCAAGCTGCACCTTGAACTCAGCTTAAATAACAAAATAAAAAATGTGTTTTCTAAACATTGTGGGGGGAGTAATAACAAAATACACTTTACTAATATAGCAAGAGAATTTGGCTTTCAAATGCAGTTTTTTCTTTTGGTTGATTGCAGTTGCTGGTTCAATCAGTAGTCTATTCTTCCTTTCCCCTTTGTGCTTAGTGTTTCTAGCACCTCTCTGACCATCTATTTTTTTCCCATTTTCTTTCTCACAGTCGAGAATCTTTCTAGCAATCTTTGAATTTTTGCAAGAAATAAAAATGTCTGCAAGGCTTTTATCTGATGACTCTGTCTATCGCAAATACAGTTTACAATAAATTCACTATACTCCCATTTGTTTCCTTGAGCAACTTTTAAACACACAATGCACTTCTCTAGCACAGTCTATGTTTATTGCATCAATGTTCCCCTCCAAGCGAGGCTGAGAGGAGATATTAAAGTACACCTGCAACTGATGCAGGTAGTGGCATAATTATGTAGGTATGCATCACTGAATGAATAGGCTGATTTGATTTTCTTTGTGTTTAGACTGCAGATGATTTACTTAAAAGTCAAGAGTGAAGCACGATTAATTTCACTGTGCTATGCCACATGAAATCCAAATAGAATGCCTGTCAATTAGATTTATCATGGGACTTGTCACCGTGTTTTGACAAGGAATGTAGATGAAATGTTTGTATCTTTCTCTCTGCATTTGTTGTCGTCACACGGAGAGATGAGATGTTGAGCAAATAATCGAGTTTTGGTGCAACAACATTCAACACATTCATGATTTGCGGGTGTTGTTAGTAGGGGGAAAAAAGGAAATGGACACAAACATGGATTAATTGCTTGGGTTTGGCAGCCGGGATTCAGTGTCAGCAAGTTGTGAAAAGATTGGGGGAATTTACATCACCAAAGACAATTTGTACATGAAGCATAACAGTGGAAATAGGACACATAAATCACATTAGCTGTAACCCTGAGTCTGCCATCGATTACCTACAGGAAAACAAATGGGGGCTTTAAGGCTTCCCATCCTTAAACATCCCCATCAGGGTTCTAACCACCAAATGGGAAACATGAAGTGGATGGGCTGTGCTGCTCCCCATGGGGCTATTAGATCAAAGGGGGGTTGGGGGGTGGGAGGAGGACTGCCCTCCGCCCCCTCACCGCCCATTAGACACCCATGCTGGAGGAGGTGGAGGTCATTTCAGCCCCTACACAGATAATATTTAACTGTCAGTAACGAGGAGGGTAAAGAAGTGTATTCTGGTATATGTTTCCTATATGTGACACGACAGCAGGTCAAATGTGAGACAAAGGCTTGTCGACAGCTTTTTACGCAGGAAGGATGACTACAAAGCAGACCTGGATCTAACAGTATTTGCATTTGATTGATCTTGTTCGTGGGGTCCCATGTGGGTGGGCTGTGCAACGGAGAGGAAGAAAATGATTGCCATATTATTACCACAATCAGGAAATCATCCGAGAGGCATTTTAATATTTAAAACCTTATGGCTTAACGAACCCTTCCATTTTACCGCCCCGCACAGAGGAAAACAAACGCTAAGAATTGTTTGCAGAAGCATTTAACACATCCCCTTAAAAGCATCAGACCTGAAGTTCAAGTGATGTTGTTATATAATATAACAAGGCAGTTGTCTTTCCAAATGCTCCCTCACACAGAAAAGTGACAGAGCTTATGATAACTGCTCATGAGCACAGATTTGTTTTTATATAAGCCTCCCCCAGTGTGAGAAGAGGTGGGGAGATGGGGCTGCATTACAACCCATAATCATTCATGGCTCATAATACCTTTTAGTCTGACATGAGATGAAACACGTGTAAATAATATTGCAGCCTGTCCAGCTCAAAGACCCTCAGACAAGGAAATGAAGAAACAGATTCACTTGACATCATTGATGAATTAGACATTAAGAGGATTTATGTCATCTTCACTGAAAGAGTTTATTCCCTTCACAGTTTGTATCAACAGCAATCAGAGAACCCTTTTTTATTAAAATGGAAAATAATAAATACCTTCCTGGGACTTTTGTATTGTCTATGTAGGAGTAGGAGGAGCGTGGGTGCTTTATCTAGGGCAGTACTTAAGTATTTAGTAAAAACAAAATCTGCTGACAGTTGTGACAGTGGCATTTAGTTTCATCCATCCCTATTAATGAAAAAGCTTACGATGGCCTGTAAGTGACATAATAATCAGTCAAATCCTCATATCATCACAGTAAATACAAGTGAGCTCTGTTGAGGCAAAGTCTAAGGAAATTCTCAAGTGAAGAGTTGATATGTCACCATTAAAAATTATTTTGTTATAATGATGCTTTGTAATTATTGTCTTGAGAGAGCAAACTGTTTGGTGCTGCCATTCACTGACTCACAGCAGCACGATCCAGTGCTGAGGAGCTGAAAATGCAAGAAGGCGACTCGAGG